AGATGAGGATGATGATGGGCTCTAGCTGCAGTCTGGCTCCACTGGTCTGGTGCAGAACAGGCTCTCTGGAGGCGGTTTGTAAGTGTGGTCACAAAAATCAATGTTCTGGGAGAACGGGAAGCAGCTCCATTTTTTGGGGGTCCTTTACACAGCTCAAGGTCTGGGTCCCAGGGTCCACCTTCATGTTCCACCAATGAGTTTGTTTACAGGGGGTGGAGTGTGTAAGGGATGTCCTGATATGTGTGTAAGGAATGCATTGTGTTTGTATGTGTAAGGGCTGCAAGGTGTGTTTCTGTGTATGTATGGGATGCATTGAATGTGTGTAAGGGGTGTATTGAGTGTGTGTAATGAATGCATTGTGTGTTTCTGTGTGTGTAAGGGATGCATTGTGTGTAACGGTTGCATTGCTTGTGTATGTGTGTCTGTGTGTGTAATGTATTGTGTGTTTTTCTGTGTGCAAGGGGTGCATTGTGTGTATGTGATGAATGTCAATCTCTCCTCCCGCTCCAATTTCCTTCTCCTCCTCCCAATTTCTCTTTCCCACCCCCCCTCCTAATTTCTCTTTCTCCCCTCCTAATTTCAATTTCTCTCCCCCCTCCTAATTTCTGTCTCACCCCCCCTTCTCTTCCCCTTCTCACCCCCCTTTCTCCTCTCTCTCACCCCCCATCACCCCTCATTTTTCTCACCCCTCATTTCTTTTCTCACCCCTCATTCTCTCTCTCTCACCCCCTCATTCTTCTCACCCTCTCATTTTCCTCACCTCCTCATTTCTTCTCACCACTCCCTCCCATTTTCTTTTCACCCCACCCCCTTCTTTATCAACCCCTTCTCTTTATCAACCCCTTCTTCTTATCCCCCACCTTCTTTCTCATCCTCCCTTTGCTGTAGCGTGGCCGCAGCCCAGTATAGTCGGCGGGTACAGAAGTAGGTTTTGTATCGTCGATTCAACAGGAAGTGCACACAAGTTCACTTCCTGTTAGTCCGGCCGGGTACAGGAGACAGCTGCTCCCTGTACCCGCCGACTATACAGGGCTCGGCCACGCCACTACAGAGGGGCTGACAGGAGGGAGCGCTCAGTGCTTCCCTCCTGTCAGCCTCTCCCCATGCTGCGCCCGGGCGGTGCGGTCCGCCCTCATGGACGCACCGCCCGGGCAAAGCTGCAGCCGCCTGAGGCTCTATACAGAGCGCTCGGGTGGCTGCAGCATGGGGGGGTGGGGGGGGCGGCGGGGCTGGTCATGGCACCCCCCACCCTGGTGGCACCCGGGGCGGACCGCCCCCCCCATAGTACGCCACTGCGCAGATGTGCCCGAAAAATGGGCGGAATTTAGCTGGATATTACTAACAGTGCAGGTATTAGCAGGATATTACTGGCAGTGCAGGGATTAGCAGGATATTACTGGCAGTGCAGGGATTAGCGGGATATTACTGGCAGTGCAGGGATTAGCTGGATATTCCCGGGAGTGCAGGGATTAGCGGGATATTACTGGCAGTGCAGGGATTAGAGGGATATTACTGACAGTGCAGGTATTAGCTGGATATTACTGGCAGTGCAGGGATTAGAGGGATATTACTAACAGTGCAGGTATTAGCAGGATATTACTGGCAGTGCAGGGATTAGCAGGATATTACTGACAGTGCAGGGATTAGCGGGATATTACTGGCAGTGCAGGGATTAGCTGGATATTCCCGGGAGT